ATGTTGGAGGAGATCGATCGATCTCTGAACAAGATCGATCGATTTGAATTTCAGATCGACCTACGTAAGTTCTGTGATCGATCGATTCGGAAGCAGAAGTTCAACATCCATTTTTGCGGTCGGTCCCAGGATCGACTTGGCCGATCGATCCACTTTCCAGAGAGCACCTGCTCCCAATTCAGAGCACCTGCTCCCAGAAGAGAGCACCTAATGCCCAGAACGGAGCACCTGCTCCCCAGAGAAAATAAAAAAAGGAATTTTCGAAATTCAGTCTGGGCCCATTCCCAGGTAAGTCCAATAAGAATGGAGAGATGGGCCAGAGAAATATTAATTAAGGGATTTTCCAATTTCAAATGGATATAAAAATTGGAATAATGGGCCATCCCTAAAAACCCTATATATCTCGCGCCCCTCTCTCTCCTCTTTCTCCTTCCTTCTGCGATTTCTTTTCCTCCATTAAAACGGTTTCCAAGCTTTTACCTAAAGCACAACTCCTTCAATTCTCAACCAATCTGAGCGATTTTCGGCTCTAACCCACTCAGTTTTGCGCCATCTTTTCGAATATACCACTCGTTTCTTTGAATCAGCAAGGTAACGTTTCGAAAACCCACTTTTTCGATCCGCCGTTTTTGCGAAAAAGGGTGAAATCCGGGTTTGTTTGGCTTGATTGGTTGAATGCGATTTGTTTAGGATTACTCAAAGTTTGCTTAGGGTCAATTTTGAGTACATAGAGGTGTGCAATTTGACTATAATTTTCGCTTGAAACCAAACCCACTTTTGTGGCGTGAAATCGGAATTTAAGGGATGAGGATTACTCTTATGGGAAATTTAGCTTAAGCTTCTTTTGTCCGGAGTGTTGTAGTTGTCTATTTCATCTGTTTCAAACACACTTGCTTTGCTCACAACTCTTTCCGCTTGGTTATGTATTTGTGTGCTGTTTGAGATATCGGTTTATGCTGGATTTCTGGTTGTTTTTGGTCACTGCAGATGACAGGTCCACGCACTTCGTTCGGAAAATCGCCACGATCCTCCAAGGGGTAGCAAGCGTCTTCCTCCTTTTCGGGAATCACCACTAACCCATGGCCACGAGAAGAAGGGAAACATTTTACCTTGCCCAACTCTAGCCTCCCTCCAAACTCTGACGATGCATGGGATCAAACCAATGCTTACTATTACAACAACTGGCTCGACATCGCCATCGAGCCATCACGCTTCCTTTGTGGACAAACGCTGAAGAGTTTGGGGCTGCTTTACGATGTGAGCAGTGTACTCGCTACCGCCCAACTTACCGACCTTGCCACGCAACCGGATGCTGTATACCCAGATCTTGTCCGCTAGTGTTTGGCCTCTGCCAAGCTCACATACGCTGATTCTCGCCAACCGGTCGCTTCCCAAGGTGTTTTCTCCTTCTTTGCTGAAGGAAAGAGACACGAGATCTCAATCCCGGACCTTTGCCATGTCTACGGGTTCGATTCTAATGCTGAGCGGGTAAATTTTCTCACGCGTTTTCTCGTGGTACATCGGTTTTGGGACTTCATTGCGAGCGGAAACTACTTCTCACGGTCGGCTGCCCAATCCGCGATTCGAAACCCCGCCCTCCGGATTAGTGCTAAGGCGGTTAGCACGATCTTCTTTGCCAAAGATGATGCGAGCAAGGTCAGAGTAGACGAGCTGATCATCCTCTACAACGCGGTAAGGGTGCGCTGAGCAACCAAGACGGTTTGAGTTGTGATCTTGACTGCAACGTCAACATGGGGGCAGTGTTCGCAGAGGTTATTGCGGACAAGAGGACCAAGGTTGCCAAAGGCAAAGCCGCGGCCTACGCAGAGCGGATGGGGAGCCTACTGACTCGTTTGTTTCTTCACCTGGGGATCGATGTCAGCGGATATGAGTGCAGCACGGTGTACGAGTCTATGGACACAGCTTACCTCCTTTCTTGTGAGATCTTAGCCGAACCCACCACCTACCGTTTCACTTCACGCGCCGGTAGTGTTCTGTTTTGCAGGTTGCCTCAGCCATCGTTAACAGATTTGGAGGTTGCTGCAAACATCGGGTTCACGCCCAGGACGGAGTATTTATGCCCAGTTGGAGCACCAACCAGGAGCACCCCGAAGCAGAGAGGGAACACCTCTGCTACCAGACAGAGCACCTCCAGCTCTGCACCTGCTCCCACTCCCGCTGCTGATGTCCCACTGAGCCATGAGGAAGAAGAGGATTTGGCAGCCGATACACAACGTACGCAGCAGTTTCATGCTCACTACCGCCGGCCTTACCACAGCGAGCTGACACTAGGGGACATCTCCGACAACCCGGACAACGCAGAGTACCGCCGTTGGATGGTGGAATCCACTAAGAAGAACAACGGGCTTCTTCACCGCCTTTTGCACATGTTGCAGAAGGGATGCAGCAGCTCACAGGCCGCGGAGACGATTCCGTCCACAGCGCCAGTCCAGCCACCTCCTGCGCAACCATCCTCGTCTGCTCGCCCCAACACACGCTCATCCAAGAGGAAAAAGCCAATCACGGACGACAAGGGATCTGATGCTACAGCCAGCGATTAGTCCTCACTGTTCTTCTCCCCCTCTCGTATTTTCTCTGAAC